GGAATAAAACATTTTTTTGTGCATGGGAGCAGAAAAACGGAGACCGAACAGAAAATTTGATCATTTTTTTCTCAGAACCTTCATTTTTCAAAACATCTGATATTTTTGAGAGAAACTCTATGAGAACTTGGACCAATGTACTCTGAGTAAACCAGAAGAAGACTCTGAGTCATGCCCTGAAGTCTGGATAGCACCCTTTGCCCTACTGAAAGACATCTTCAGCCACAGCCCCGGGCTGTTTGTGTGTCCGTGGAGGATCTGCGTTTTTGGGAAGATGGCCCCTACACTTGCGAAGCGACAAAGTGATGCTGGCGAGATGAAAGAAAGAAGCATAGCACAAGCAAAGGAGAGCTCTAGGGCAGAGAAAAACCCAGACACTCTGTTACACATCAAAGAGGGAGCCAGTGATACAATCATCTCTTTAGGCAATGAAAGCCCAACTTTATTAATTAAAACACGTCTGTTGAATCATCTTCTCATCTCTCCCTTCCCACTTTACTCATTTTATCACTCATTTTCGGCAATGGCGCTGATTACGAAAGGAAAGAATAGAGGGGGTGGATGTGGGAGGACGCATAAAGCAGGCCGTTCCTGGATAGACTTCCACATCCAGTTGTTGCTCACACCAACAACAGGTGTGCGTCTTGCAAGTCGTGCAAAATGTGTAATATTAATAAGCAATGAATAAGAGGAAATAGGAGGCGAGAACTTGAGAAATAGGAAGAGAGGGGAGGAACAGGAAGAGATGAGATGGAGGAGATAGACTGAACTGTATGGATAAATAGAGAAAAGGGTCCATTGTGTCAACAGCTGTCTAAATAGCCCTCAGATCACTGTCAGGCACTATCGTACGCGCGCACACACATATATGTGCATAGTTAGGCACACACTGACTGACAGCACCCCCTCAGTCCAACATCTGTGCTGACAGCAGCCATGGTAATGAGTCTCTGCATGTGCCAGCATGGGTGTGTCGCTTCTTTTTCCTCCTTCTTTCCCGGCGCATAGCTCATTCAATCATTTCACTCGTCTTGTTGTTTTCCCCCCGCTCTTTTCTTTTCGTTATTTCTACTTTTTTTTTTTACCCCTCGTCATCTTTTTAGGAGCACGTGCTGATTGACTTTTCCGCGCTCGAGTAGCAACTAAATGAGAAACATTGTCAAGTGTGAAGTTGTGTGGCAGATCGAAGCGCTTTTCAGGTGCACCGCGCCGCACGTAGAGGTGTGGAGGAAGAGAGGGATGAATGAAGGGAGAGATGAAGAGATGATGAATGGCTCTCGTTAGAGGGGTAATTTGTCTCTCCTTGTCTGACTGGGCTCCAGCTGTCGCTCCATCCTTCGCTCCACTCTGCTCTCCTCTCCCTCGGCCTACCGCTCCTCACCTCAGCCAGATGGGTGGACGGATGGACGGATTGAGGCAGGAGGGAGGGAGGGACGGAAAGGAAGGCAAGGACGCGGAAGAGAAGGGAAGGGAAAGCATTGAGGAGCCAACTAGCAGAATTATGCCTCATGTATAATTCCGTTGCCGAGTAAGGAATGGCTTCACGGAGAAACAATAGACGATGCTAAACTCATTCGCTCATTCACATGCAGTAGCTCAGCAACAGGCAAAGCTTATATGCTCGTATGACTCATACAAGCAACTCAAAGCCTGGTGCCCGCAGAACAAACTAATGACGGCTGTGTGCATGTGCACGCCTGTGTGTCTTGTGTTTTACATTGTACACAAATCATCAAGGGACACTGCTAATACTTCTAATACAATGCTACAGTCTTAGGATTGCCTAGATTCTCCCCCATGATACGCTTCTTTTTCACACTAATCAACACTTGCGCGAGAGAGCTGTAGATTCAAAGTGAGTGAGAGACGGGCGCAGGGAGAGGAGGACTGAGAGATGTATACAGATGGCCAGGGAGGCGGCTGAAGGATGGCAATGAACAAATCGTCAGGAGAACCACGTGAGCTCATTGCCAAGTCTTTGTTCTAATAACACAAAGCAATTTCCACTGACCTTTCTAGAAATGTAGCGGGCAGAAATGACTGAGTTAAGGATGCCCCACAGCATAATTGCTAAGGAGATTAAAGTTCCCTTAATTGCTTTTGGCCAACTAGTGCAATTTTTCCTTTTTTTTTTGTGATTAAAGGCATTTAGAATATTAATAACAGCATGTGCACGAGCTCTCACACACACAGACACAGCTGTGTGGACCCGCGATAAAAACATGCATGTTTCTTCTTCTGCTTCTTCTTCTTCTGCAAGGTGTGCTGCTACACATTTGCCATTTTTCTATTGCCAGTGGTCACCAGTAGCCTCATTGTAGGCTTTGTGAAATATGCAAATCACTAGGTTCCGTCTCATCATTCTTTAAAAAGTCACTTCATATAGATCATTGGGCCTTTTTTTTTTTTTTTTTGCTCGTATCGGTGGCTTATTCCCCCTTTACCTCTTTATTCGTTTTGTTCCTGTCCTCCATCTTGCTCAGTCCCCTCTTATTGCCTCTTCCCCTCCTAATTCCCTTCCTCTATTGCTTTCTTCCTCGCATTTTTTTCCCTTTTATTGGCAATAAGTTTTGTCAGCTCATAGCTTCTTGACTGTCCCCCAAACCCCCTCCATACCTCTCTCTCTCTGTGTGTGTGTGTCTCTCCTGCTCTTGATTTCCCCGGTTAACCCTGTAACCTCACTGTCTCCCCCCACCTGCGTCCCCTTCTCTCCATCAGTCTCTGCCTGTCCCTCTCTGTCCGTCCCCTTTCCCCCCCTGTCGGCCACAGTGTTTGCTTTGCCATTGTTTATCCATTTTTCTCTGTTTGCTCTGATGAGATTGACCGTACACACACACAGACACACACACATACCTAAACAGAAGACAAGGCTAGCATGTCTCTGGGGTGTAGTTAACGTGGGGCTGTGGATCGATCCTAGCTCTGGTTTCCATGACGCAAAGCTCTGAGCTGGAGCAGTTTGGACAGCAGGATGGAGGCATCAGTCTGTCTCTGTTTCTATCAAATAAATCTCTGCAAAAGCCGCGACAACACCTGGAGTCAAAGGTGTATTTACCATGATTAATGCGTTTCATTTTGATGCCGCATAGAAGGGCGCGTTAGCCAACAAATATGTCCAACCACTTTGTTTCTTAAGTGATGTCTGCATTGATCTTTCTCCTCTCTCTCGCCCAGGTGCCGTTTCCCCCCCGAGGCGAGCAAAATTGCATTGTCACTGAAAAAAAAGCCCACCATACCCCCCGATCTATCATGCCCTTTGCAGTTTTTTGATTCCTGTCAATGCTCTGTGATGGGAAGATGAATGCTGTCAAATTACAATCACACCACATCTGTATTCTGAAGGAGCGCCAGTAAGGGGAAAAAAAGAAAGGGGGGGAGATAGTGCAATGATGAATGTGCAGCTATCTTTTCTTTTTCTCCAAGGTCTCAATGCTTTTCTGTCTTTCTCCTGCTATGTTGCTGACTGTTTTTGTTCTGTGTGAAAAGAAAGAGAAAGGAGACTGAAAGGCTGTGTTTTCGATTTTCCCGCTGAAGTCTTCGGCGACAAGCGAACAAATAGATGAAGTTTGTAGAACTGGAGAAGAACTAGACCGCTTTCCCCCACACACTTAAACTTTGGGGGAGAAAAAATGGGTAATTTGTTATTGTAAAGAAGAAGAAAAAACATGGCTGGCTAACAAGAGATCTTACTTTGAAGGAGGAGAAAATAAGTGATTGTGTTAAAAAGTCTTCGGTCGACTATCTAATTAGTAGTTATAATAACCTGAGTCCTTCTGTGGATTGACTGGACTCAGTGGCCTCATTCTTATCATATTGTTGATTGATTGAGCTGCAAATATGGCAGACATAATTATTCTATATTTTGAGCAGTCTCTAAATAGAATTTATTAGATTTGTCTTTGTCCTTGATTCCAAACCTTTGGAGAGTAGAGTGAATTCTCTCCATCCCACTCTTCTCTCTCTGGTGTACGGGACAGCCTGATTGTGTCCACGCATCCCATGGCTCCTACTATTTAAAGACTTGGCTGTTAACTTTCTTTTGTCTTACCCATGTAGAGGACAATCGTATCATGGATGTAGGTCCTAGCAGAAGTCTTCTACCATTGGTGTTGAACTATTTTAATGACAAAATAACAGATGCTTATAAATTGCACCGTTGGTCAATTCAGTATGACCCCATTGCTTCATTTGGTCATTTTTTAGGTGTTTACAGGAGTAGATAGCGTCCTGTGTTAATTTTGGCATGTGTATGAAAAAACATGTATGTATATACGTGTGTGTGTGTGTGTGTGTGTGCGTATAGTACTGTGAATGGCTTTAAACCACTTATATCAATATTTCATTTTTAAAAAATGAGAAAACGGCACTAAAATTGTCATGACTTGAAAGGAAACTTTTTTTGTACTCATTAATGCACTTAGGAGATCTGCACTGATCATTCTCTGTGTCTCAGCCTTCTGTGATTGTACCCAGCATGTTCTACATTATTAATATCAGGGGATGCTCAAAGAAGCAAGTTTAATTAGGGGTTAACCGGATAGCTTTGTTGAGTACAGTGTGCGTGCAGCAGGTGTTTCAATCCGTGTGCAGATTTTTAAGCCTTAAAGGTTAAGGTTAGCTCAAATTAAGTAAAGCACAAAAAAATAAAATCTCTCATTCAGAGACATTTTAATCTTAATTTTATTTTATTTCCCAACAAAGACAAACACATTTGCATTAGCTCTGTCCAACCAGTAATCAGTAATATCAATAAAACTTTTTTTAAAATTTAGATATAGTTACCGTAAAATTTGGATTGATCCCAGAGTTACCTGTAATTTGAGTCAACAGGCCCCTTAAAAAAATGGTGGCATCTCCTCATTAAAAATATCCACGTCTCCCATTCAGGTTGCCTCTGTGAGCAGGCCCCTGTATCACTGTCAGACAATGCCATCTGTTTTGTCTAACGTCCCCTCCGTCCTTCTCTGCCCCCCCTCTCTTTCTGTCCCTCCATCCTCCAGGTCGTCCACTCCCTCCAACCTCTTCCTCCACCCTGCTCCCTCCGTCCCTCCCGTCCTCCTCGTCTGCCCCCCACCACCCCTCCCCCGGCCCGTCCCCACCGATCAGGGAATGCCAGGTGCCCCTGCTGGAGAAAAACTCCACCCACTCTCACCTGGAGCCCCACCCGGAGGATTCATACTTGCTCCGGGCCCAGCCCTCGTCCACTGGTAAGAGAGCGCTCCATTCAACCATCCTTTCATTCTCTCTTCTCTTTTTTTTTCGTTTTAATGTTTGCATCAATATGCCATCCATCACCTGAGTCGATGCATTACCTCATCATGTGTCCATTTCCTGATCTGATTTAGTCGTTCAGTAAAATGCCAAGCAATGCTGCGCTTTAATTTAATGTCACATCTTGTTCGGCTCTGGCCATTTGTTTCTGCTTCTCTGCATTCCACTGAAGTCAGCATTTGTTTGCAGGGCTGGAAATCAAACTGAGGGGACGTTTTTACTGTGATTGCTTTAAAATAATAAGAGAATGTAAAAAAAATAAATAAATAAAATTTGTGGACAGTAATAGGGTTTTTTTTCGAGAAGACGTAAAACTTTTAATTTGGATCATTCGTGGATGAATTCAAAGCAAACAATTACAGCGTCAGGTAATCGTTATATGACACTGATTGTAATAAAAAACTGTTTATGATTTTTAAATCAGTTGTTGCATAAGCATAAAAAGAACTAATAAAAAAATCCTCTCTTCCTTTTATTTTTTTGTGGCACATGTGACAATCCTAGACTGACAATTGCTGATTCGTTAATGGATTGCATTTTAAATGTAACCCTCCCACCTTAACCAAAAAAAAAAAAAAACAATGATGCAAGGAGAAGCAACCCCCTACTCTCTGCAGAGTGCAGCTTGGTTGCCACTGAGTAGGTGTGCTTGTAGTTATTTTCCATATGACATTAATAATCCGCTGGAAAGTGAAAGGTAAGGGGATGATGAATTTTAAGTGCCAGCAGGAGGATCAGCGTAGCAAAGACAAACTAGTTAGTTTCCCCAGCTTTAAGCTTTCTCTTTCATCACCGGGCCCTTCTTGTTGGCTGTTAGAGGCCTCGTGTGCTTATATCAGCACCTCACAACTATTTTTCTCCTCTTACGCTGTGTGCGCGTACACATGCACGTGCAAACGTCTGCAGTGATGAGGCTGTTCATCAGTATACGCATTTATTCTCAACAATTAGCTACTGTGGGGCAACTCTATGCCTCCCTTTCCCGCTCTTCCCTGTTTCTCCATTCCTCTGTGCATCTGCACTTGTAATCAGTAGATATATTTAGCAAAGGCCTGATGGGAGGGAGAGGGGTGGGCAGAGAAGTCCTAATGTGATTTTTGGTGGAATACAATCTATTGTTAATGGCGTTAGGCTCTCCTTTGATCCAGTATAAATCTTCATTAGGGAAGGCCCGGGTCCCAGGTTCAAGAGCAACGTGATTAGGAGGCTTTTAAAATGACGTTACATCAGCCTTCTAATTGGTTTACTGTTTGCTGGGGCAACATCAATCATTAGCCCAGTAACCGCACAGCAAATAAATTCACTCTGCCACTGACACCCTAATGGCAGACACTGGTAAAGAGGGAGAGTGAGGCTCGCAGGCGCACTCTCTCTTTCTCTCATTCTTGTTCGTATACACCCACACTTTCTGTTGTGGGGCTTCTTTCAGTCTCTGCTGAGCTTGTACGCGCAGACAGCGAGCAAGAGAGACAAAGAAAGAAAACAATGACGGAGAAGCTGGGAAAGAAAAAAAGAAGAAGAAGAGGCACAAAGAGGCAAATGGGAGCAGAGAGAGAGAGAGAGGGGGGAGAGAGAGAAAGCCAAACTTTGACTTCTTGAAGTTGTTTAATGAGACATCGTGCATGAAAAAAAAGGAGAGAGAAAAGAAAGCAGCCAGAACACACCAGTAAAAATAGATGGGGATAGGGGGGAAGTGAGTGAAAGGGAGACAGAGACGAAGGCACATAGAAAGTTAAAGAGACACGGGGTAAAAAAGGGTAAACTGATGAGAGCTTCGAGGTTGAAAGGGAGATATTTGGATGGGAGAGCAACAACATTCGGATGAAAGTGCTACTTTTCCAAGCTAGGACTGCCGATCTAATGGTGTGCAGAGAGAGTCCTTGGCTTTGGGCATCCATTAAAATTGGCCTAAATGAGTTCAGAGTGTCAGTCTGGCACTGCATAAACATAGCCTGGCATGCAGGCGAGGCGAGCAATGGCTGCGAGCAAATAAAACACCTATAACCGGCGACTGTTTATGCATGTGCTGTGAAAGTGCATGCCTGTCTGAATATGTGTTTGGTGTGGTCCTGGAGAGAGTAGATGCTGGGCAGGAAATGAGCCTTACCAAGCCAGGCAGAAACTGACCACAGCGAGATAATCCTCAGGAAACTGCATGCTGCGTGTGTGTGTGCGTATTTGTGTATGTGTGTGTGTGTGTGCTCCTCTAAAGTAGTCCACCATTACCTAAGCTAACAGGTGGACAGACATGACTTGTGTTCCTAGTGAAGCGTGACAGGTGAATGGGAACGGAACGTTGTTGCCGAGGATTGGCTGGGAATTGGTCTGCGAATGTTTATATGGGAATACTGTCTGGCTCGGAGCACCTGTCTGGGAACGCTCCCTCGGAACGACGGGAGAGCTGAGACGACCAAACGGAGCGTAGCAGATCGCTCCTGGAAAGAGCTAGCATTAGCGCTGTCTCTGGCCATTCATTATGCATGGGGAACACTAAGCTATTTTTAGCTCAAGCCTCTTCTAAAGTGGCTAGCTATCTGCTGCCAGGGAAGCCACCTCAAGTCACTGCCGAAGCAATGAATGTTTAATGGCTTTGTTGAAACAAATCTACAGAAACAAAGGCACAACAAAGGCACACTCCCTTCTTCTCCGCTAATGTTATTCTTCCCTAATGGTGCTTATGTAAGGGTGACATTTGCAAAGCAGTTGGACAATTTGTGCATTTGTATTTGTGTGTGTGTGTGTGTGTGTGTGTGTGTGGTGGGGGGGTGGGTGCAGGGTAAAATGCACGCATGCATTTCTGCTCATAGACTGTTTGTTTTTGGCTGAATTTGATGACTCTTCTCTAGCGGATTATTGCCTCCTAATTAGACAGAGATGACTAGCCAAGGCAGAGGCGGTGTGTGTGTGTGTGTGTGTGTATGTATGTGTGTATAAATGTATGTTTTTAACTTTATTTCCTCTTTGTGCCAGCACATGTCTGTTGTAGTGTGTGCAATGGTGTAAAATAAAACCTTAGTGAGAAATAAGCTCCTTTGTCAGGCTGTGCATGTGTGTGTGTGTGTGTGTGTGTGTGTGTGTGTGTGTGTGTGTGTTGGTGTGTTTCACCTCAAGTTCTCCTTCCATGCTCAGCCTCAGAGCTCTGAGAAGAATGACAAATGAGGAGCATGTGACATTCTCAGATAGAGGACGCATGAAGCAGCAACACATGGGAATATACCACCCTTAAAAACATGGGGAGCATGGCAATTAGATTGGAAGGGAAGGTGCATGAAAAACAATGAAGGTTGGTGCAGCAGTTTAAAAAAAAAAAAAGAAAAAAAAAGGAAAGTGGAAGCAGTGGAGATATGGGGCGTGAAATAAAGAGATGGGTAGACAGAGGGAGTGAGAGGGATAGAGGGACGATAGGGAGCGAGGGGTGGGAGCTGAGCCCTGCAATGATCCCTTTTTAACTGCTGAATGGGCATTTCTGTCCTGCACACAGGCACACACACACAGATGCACATCCTGCCCTGTGACTTTTCTCTGTTAACCACAGAAAATGTCAATAAACAGTTTACCCATCCAAGGCTGCAAAACAAACTGCCTTGGTTGGTTCTTGCTGCCAGTTGGCCACACACACACACACTGTGATATTAATATGATGTGCGAGGCCCTTCTTCTGGCTGAAGTGTGTTTAACAGGTTAGCAGACAGGCTAATGCTCTTCTGCTGAATGAGGCCACTTTGAATTGGCGAGCATAATGAACTTCCAGGGATTAGCCCGAGCCAAACGCACCAGCTTACAGCTATAGTCCCCCTCTCTCTCCGGTCACAGGGGACCTTGGACAAGAATAAACTGGGTCAGGCTTCGACAGCAGTCGGAAGGGGGCTCAGAGCTTCTCCACAAAAAACAAAACAAAACCAAGAGCTGTCAAGTAAATGCTTTCTGTTTACATACACTGGCGAGTGAAAGAGAGGGAAAAGAAAGGAGGAAAAGATAAAGTGGAATAAAAAGTGATCTGCTTGGCTGCTCACTAATTGCTCTATTTCCTTTTTCGCATGTTTGGTCTTTTATCAGACCAGGTTCCTAGTAAAACGGTTGTTCCTATTAGCCTACCTGTGGGTTGTAGTTTGGAAACCACACACTTTATCTGACTAAGTCCCCTATCTTAATTTATTAGAACCATTTAGCTCAAGATTGCTCATTCCTGCACGCCACCTCTGTTCCAGTGGTTACTCGCGTTTGTGTATTTGTGGCCAAAACAGAAACGCAAATGTTTTCTTCGGTTCTCTGCATGTATGAAAAAAACAGCCTTGTACCTCAGCCTTGCTCCTCCAGCAGACCCCACTTCTCAATATGTTTGTGTTTTCTCCAGCGAGCTCTAAGGGTTGTTTTTTGGGTTGTGTTTTTTTATGGATTTGAAGTCTGCATGAGAACAAATTTCTTTGACATCAATCTCCCGTGCTGTTGCAGAAAAAGGAAAGCAATTTGTCTCTGATCATAAATATTTTGTAGCACGTCTAGAAATATTTTTCTTCTCTTTTCTGTTTTTTTTTTTCTTCCTTTCTTTCTTTCTTGAACTTCTACCAAAGGTTGAGGGACTTTTTGGAAGAATAGTGCTTTCTTTAAAAAACTTGTTCTTTTTTTTTCGCTGCAGCACATTTTACGACAACACAAGCAGAGCATTAGTAATGAGTCGTTATCCACTTTATTCAGTAAATATTGATTCAGCGAAGAATAAAAGGAGCAATCGCATTCTATCATGTAACAATTCAGTTCGGTTAGCCCGACAGAACATGACAGCCGCGGCGGTCCCAGTAGGCTACGAAGAGAGTTAATGCATAGAATTACAGGCAATACTTTTCTCCGAATTTACATTTTTCTGACATTATCTGGAGACGTGCAATTGAATTTGCTGCTGAATGATAGATAACAGGATTAGCATTTTTTTCTCTTTTGCCTTGAGTCTGCAAAGCAAAATGCACTTATTACAAAAAGTGGTGGATGCAAGTTTCTGCAGACAGAACAGAGCGTGACTTGATACCTGCGCAACATAATTTAGTGGCTGGATATTTGAAGAAAACCCTCTCCAGTGGTTGGAGTGTGTCTGACTCTGCACACACACATACACACAGAAGATTTTACCACATTCACGCAACCAGGCTACAGCAGTTTGTGGGAAAAGTAGGGCTGGGGAAAAAAGTATTCCTCTTCCATACAAGGTGTGCCATATATTATTCATTCAAATTTGAATGAAAAACCTGTTCAATATTTATGGGAGAGAAAGTGAACAAAAGCATAAGGCATGCATTTTTGTACGCAGATTTAAACACGGGAGATAGCAGGCTGGTCTAGTGAGCGTGGGGTTGCCTAGTTGTATTTTTTGCATCGTTGGGACTGTGTCCATGCCTGCATACGTGCCCAGCCAGTATGCGGTTTTTGTTTTTTGTATTTAGATGCTTGTGTGCTTTTGTTGATATGGGTACACTATATAAAAGTATTTATGCAGATAGGGTGCAGTAAAAGGTATTTCACATTTATAGGGACATTGCAGGGAGGGGAAGTCTAGTTAATTTTATTTATAAAGTGCTTTTAACAAACAAGGTTTATCTTAAAGTGCTTTACATTTCAGCAAAGGAACACAAGGAAAATGCAAATAAAAGGAAGATGAAAGAGAAACAATCCTTAACAAGAAATAGGGCAGTATAGGAAGGAGGAGGAGGAGGGAAGTACACGAAATAAACCCCACCGCATGCTTTAATATCAATTTACGTGCAGAGTTTATGATAGAGAAGGATGGCCTTTCGGGCTGTGTTGTGGCTGCATGTATGCGGGTGATTGCATGCACGCATGTGTATCTGTTTCTCCCAAGAGCATCTTTGCACGCACAAACAGATGTTTAGCGTCTCTCCTGTGTAGCAGAGGTCAGGCCCCATCTTTTTTCCCCCAGTCTCCTTCCCCCTTCTCGCCCCTTCTCTCCTTTCACGAGCATCTGTTCTCCAGCCACGGCGGTGACACCTGCATCCCCGCAGTATCACAGAGGAATCAGGTCACCTCGCAAACTGGTTGTCATTACAACGGGAGTTGCAAGCAAGCCGGGTTCCCCTTAAACACCCATTCAGGAGAACAAAGAAAGATGCATTTGCATAATGTAGATGCAAAATGCATTCGTTTTCTGATTTGGTTTCTATCTGTCAAAAGTCGTCGCCCTCGCCCCCCCCCCCGCCCCCCTTACCCTCCGCCACACACACGTGAACAGGCAAATATCAAAGCGGAAGAGCAGACAGGAGAGTTCAGCACATCCACACTTCTCCCTTCCTCTCGCACGCTGTTTCTTTTCTTATCAAATCCAAGAGAAGATGACATATGGAGGAGGGCAAGTGTGATCACGCAGCTTGACAAAGCAGTTGCTTTTTTGTTGTTTTCACCCCACACATATGTGTGTGCACGTGCTCCAAACTTTGATCAATTGGAGAAAGACGACGCACCAAGTAAACAGTCTCATGTATCTCCATACTCAGTAATGATGAAAGTCTGATGCGTGGCATCGATGAAAGAAATAGCAAACGATGTCTTAAAGCTGCGTGAAGCATAAATGACGTGCAGGTTTTGCACTGTCATGATATGTAATTTTTTAAGCAGCTGGCAACAAAAAAAGTATGTTAAGATCTCCTGTACCGTATAGTATGTGGTTTATTGATTTTCCCGTGCAAACCCACACACACGCACGATGAAGATGGGCTCAAATCCCCCACTGATTCATGGAAAGAGGGAGAGGGGGAGGGGGAGAGAACTGTGATGTGTGAATGGGTGTTCTCGTCTGAGTCATCCGGGTTTGTTTTTCAGCTCTCTCACTCAACAGTCCATTAGCTCATTGTTGGAAGGGCTGGTATTGGATTCTAGCTGACATGTTCCCCCAAGTCTGAGAGCAAGAGATGAGGGCGCACGCTGTGCTGAGTGCTCTAATATTGCTCACACGCATCTTTTTGCTACTTGGGGGGAAAAAGAAAACTGGAGAGAAAACGCAAAAGTGAGACAAGGAGAGAGAGGAGTGGATAAAAATGAAGATGGACAAAATGGAGAAAAACGTGAATTAAAATGTAAGAAGATGATTATCAAATTCCACGTATCTGTTGAGCTGGAATTTCCTTCTCAAATAAGTTATCGACCGTTTGGAAAACATGAGACCTACTCCGAACCAAATGATTGCAGAGGCAAAAGTAGTACATAATGGAATGATAATGAAGTTATTTGCAAGCTGAAGAGCTTTGCTTTTGACATACTGCGAAATAATCACCAAATATCAAATAACATTTCTGTTCTACTTTTGGGTTTGTAGCATTTTGGAACCGAGTCCTTGATCCCTTTGATCTGAGACTCTATTTTCACACAGAAGTGTTTTTCTTAAATTCGTCTCTGTGCTTGTTTTCTTCCAGGGGCTGCCAACCACCAGAGTCAGACCACGCTACGACCTCCACTGCCCCCTCCACACAACCACCACACTTTGTCCCACCAGTCTGCCAACAGCCTGAACAGAAACACCCTGAGAGGCGGACGAAACCCCATTCACGCACCCGCTCCAGGGACGGGAGATGGTCCGACCACCCCTGAGTCTGTCCAGTTACAAGACAGCTGGGTGCTTAACAGTAACGTGCCGCTGGAGACCAGGTCAGAGTATATATTTTCTGTTTTGTTTTGGATTGTTTTTCTGTTGACGGGTTTACCTGACGCTGATATCTGGAGCCACTTACAGTAAGCACAGCAGTTGAATAAGCCTTGAGTAATCAATAGTGAGGAATGAAAGGTCAGATCCATTCAGCAACATTTCTGTAAGCTCAGTGTGGCGGTGTCAGACAGAAATGTTAGAAGAGAAAGAAAGAAGCTGTGGTGTATTTGGCCATGATGTAAAATAACAACTATTCACTCACTAGGACTACCACAAAACGTGTTACACTAAAAATGAAAGAATACTTAAGAACTTAAAAAGGAAGGCAATTAGGGAACTGGGAACAAATCAATGGAAGGTCTTGGCAGACTAGCAAAAAAATATTAGACTTCATGGGCCATGGACACTTTTCAAACTATGTCCTCTTGAAATAAATGGTGCTGTAACCTAAGTGATGAAGTGACTATTTAGTAAGCTGCTGTGGCTGACAAGCTAACTGGTAACAGAGTGTCTTAATAACACTGGCTATCTCTAGCCAGTAATAAGCTGTCGAAGCTTTTTTGCCGTGGCAACTGCTGGTAAGCTTTTGGGAGCCTTTTAACTAGTCTGTGTTTAACTGTGAGTTAATGATACGGCAGCCCTGAGAGGTCAAACACACTGGAGCTTAAGAAAAAAACATATAAAATATAAAAATTATAAAATTACACATTGGAAGTATAAAAAAACAAAATCTCACAAAACACAACAGAAGCGTTTCTGGGGACACAATAACGTGACGGATCAGCAGAAGTGAAAGGAAGCAAAGCATGCAAAGGACTGCACTGAGACATGCTTACAGGAAGAGGAGGATGTGTAGGGTAGTGTGTGTTTGCGTCACATAGAGCAGCGGTCCCCAACCTTTTTTGCGCCACGGACCGGTTTATGTCCAACAATATTTTCACAAACCAGCCTTTAAGGTGTTGCGGATAAATACAACAAAATAAAACCAGTACTGGTACCAAAAAAGGAAGATTTATTCATAACACAGGGGAAAAGACCCAGGAAAACAGAGTTAATTATAAATCGATAAAAAAAAATGACGATAATAAGCCCCAAAATCTGTAAATATTTATTATTTAAATATTTGCGTTCTTGTGTAAGAACAGAGACAATTAATATTAATTAATTAATAATAATTTGCTTAGGCTCCAGCTTAGTGGTTATTAGCAAATTACTAGCAACATTCCACTTAACCATTCATCAGCTGCTTTTTCTTGAAATCTACATATAAATAAATCAAAAACTTTTGTATTTTTTAAAATATTTTGGACCAATAACAACAACAAAAAAAATCTACCCATCCCAGCTTTAAAATGAAAGGTCCACTTTGACATCGCCATTCCTTTAAAGGTCAGCAAAGCTTTTAACACCGAAAAGTGGAAAAGTAAAATGTAGACACTTCTCCAGCTGTAACACAAACCTATCACAGTCAGAATATTCATTAACTCCAGTCTACAAAGCTGTGTTCACCAAACCTAAAAAGAATCCACGTTTTAAAACGTGATCTAAGCCTGCGAAATTTCATTACAAACTCCACCTCAGAGCGCTGTACAAACTACTCTGCCTTCACAAGTGAAACCACTTATTGCAATTGCACTGAAATTAACTGACCCTGTATTTGCTCTTAAAATGCTGCTTTGATCTTTGTCCCTTGTTATTTTTTGTTATTTAACACCCACCTAACACCAATTTATTTTTTAATTCAACAAATCACTGATTGTCTCCGCCATGATGAGTTTGTATATTTAGCATTCTTGTTATAAATGTTATGGAACCCTGAGATATGGATATCAGTTCACAGGCACTGTGAGAGTGGAGCACCTGCATGAATTGTCTGAATAATACAGTTCAGCTAATTGTCTCTTAAACGTTCATAATTAGGTCCATAATATGTTGCACAGAGATACAATTTCTGTATTTTTTCCTCTTTTATACCAACACAATGGATTTTAAGTCAAATATATGATCAAAGTGCACACTAGCAAGGGTTTTACAACGTTTCGCATTAACTTTGAGACATTTTCAGTCCCAGAAATAATTGTGTGTTTGTGACAAACATCATCATGACCAGACAAGTCCTGTTCTCTTACAGACATAATAGCTGAATGTTGAATTTGCATTTTATAGTTTTGTCACTATCAACAGATATCAGTGCAAATATGGTTGCCATGATTAGGTTGAACAAAACAAAATGAACCTATCAAAGAGATAGGAAAATGGGGGACTGTGTTTAAAAATTACTGTCATTCCTAAGCAGTTAATGCAAAATGTTTGTAAAAGCCCCAGAATTAAAATTGAAAGTCTGCACTTTAATCACTAATTGATTGTATGCTTTAAAAACCCATTGTGGTGACGTACAGAAGCAAAACTACAAAATGTGTCTCTTTGTCCAAGGAATTATGGACCTAACTGTATCTGCACTGTTTTAGTTCCCAAAGCAACCACGATCTCACACATTTCCATTATTTCTAAACCAGTATATGAACCTTTAAATGAAAAGCCAATGGCTCCAGGCTGTGATTCATAAAAGTGTGCTGCTCAGTTTCCTTCTCTACCTCATCCCCAAACAGGACGCCTTACAAAAGAGTATTATGCATGCAACCTGGAGTGAAGAAGCAGGAAATACAAACCTTTTCACACACTCTACACATGT